CAGGATGAGCTGTTGGCTAATATGGAGGCCTGTGTTAGGCTGCTCACTGTTCCTCTACTTTAACACACACCTCACCACAGCAGCTGTGTGGGTTGTCTCTATAGCAGCCATATCAGCTTCTGATACATGAACATCATCACAGCGCTTAACTTCATCTTTATTAGCTTTTACATTCATGTCTTTCCTTTCTCTCTCTCTCTCTGTTTCCACACAAGCTCAAAGTCTCTGCAGCCTGTTTTATCTGCCATCATCAGATCTTCAACAGCCTTATTCACATCCCTCACACACTCTACAGCCTCATCAATACTTCCTCTTCACTCACTGATGGAGCACAACATGAAGCTGTGGAGGCTGAAAAACTGTCCCGTCAAACATCTCCCCATCACCTCTCCACTTCTGTCAGCCTGTAAATGAACCCTGCTCAAGTCTGTCACTTCTATTTGGAGCCAAAGGGAAAAACTGTTGTTCAATCGTTTGGAAAGACATAACATTTCTGAAAGCACTCAAACTTCTTCACATTTCTCTTCAGACAAATCTTGAAAATTTATGAACTAATGAAAGTTTCAAACATCAAAGATCTGAAATACAGAAAAACAACAACAGCTGCAGTCAGTGAACTCACACAAAAGTCTTCAGTCGACAGTTTGTACTCTCCAGTCCAGCACACAGAAGCTTCACACCTGAATCCTGCAGCTTGTTTCCACTCATGTCCAGCTTTGTCAGATGGGAGGGGTTGGACTTCAGAGCTGAGGCCACAACTTCACAGTGAGTCTCTGAGAGTCCACACTGAGTCAGTCTGTGATTATAGAAAATATAAAATGTGTTATTATAAAAACAAATTTAATGTATATGAAGACAAAAAAGAGTGATGTCATAATCTAATGAACATCTGCTCTTCACATCTGTGCTTCAGCTCCTCTTACTGTGTTTGACATGACACAATGATTCAGTCTCTCTCAGACCTGTAGAATTTTAATGCCAATATTTGTTTTGCTTTAATCTGCAGATGAAGGAGGGAAGGTGGGGTCACATTTAGGCTTCCATAATGTCCACAGTCTGTCAGTGAGATCTGATCCAGAGTCAGAGTGAAGACACACATTTGGACTTTTTCCTGTTTCGAATCTGACTCCAGAACATTTTGAATAAGTCCAGCTCAGTGAAGAGTTCCAGCTGGGAAAGATGATCTCTGTTTGCTACCTGCTGCTGTCAGGTATGACTGTTCACGTCCACATGCAGGAAAAACCTGCTGACTGTTACCAAACGGAGAAGAAATCTCATCACTGGACAATAATGATGAATGAACTCAGAGCTGCTGATATCAGATCTGATTTCAGGGGAACTAAACACAGAAATGATTGGCTCATTTTCACTTTCTGAGCCATTAGTCTGCTGGTGTGTCACTAGTTGGCAGAAAAAAGATTTGTATTCCTGTTCTGGGCTTCAGTGTTTATGAGTCCAGATCCAGGTGACAGCAAGTCAAAATGATGTTACCTGTCTGTGTCCAGCAGCAGCCTGTATTCACTTTGAATATTGTTATAAACTGACATGGATCAGTTTGTCTTATGATTTTTATCATCTTTATGATTCCAAATCCAAAGTCTTCCTCAGCACCTTCATGCTCACTCATCATGTTTATGCCACTAAACTCTGTGTCTGTAGTTCTGTCTGTAGTCAGATGAGAAGCTCAGACGGTGACTGCTCTGGATATTTGTCACAGTTTTTAACATTAGAGTTCACTTCACTACAAAGAAGCTTTTCTTAGATTCGTATTTCTGTCTTCTCTCTAACAATAGCACCCGAATGACCAACAACAGCAGCATCATATTTAAAATACTGCCCCCTAATGAAACAACAGAGGTACTACATGTAGATGTGAGTCTACAACACACAGCGTACCAATGCAGGATCATGCTAAGTGCACACACACATTTCCTGATCAACACAAAATATAATTTTAACTGAGAAACTCAAACTAATGAGAGTCGTTTAGTACTGTGTATATCTGAAGAACAAAACTACTAATCTACACTAATTAAAGATGTCAACCCTTTAAGACATACCATAGAACCAAGTCCACCAGAGCTTATATTATATTTTTACATGTTGTAGTGCCATTTTTGAGAGCATTTCAAGTTGATATACATCAATAAAACCATTATAGCCCAAGTTTTAATAATATGTATGCATTAAGTCCATAGTAACTACATAAATTGCAAAAAAGTCCAATAAACTACAAAAAAATTGAAAATCGTTTTGTTTTTTTAACATATATTTCTAGTTATAGAAATTTAAGAGGCTTATCCCTCAAAACTGTTGCACAAACTAGTTTCCCACCACAGGAAATTTATTTTAAGTGTCTTCATAGTTTTATTTTTGAAATACACCAATTTTCATATACTGCAGGAAAAAC